CAAAGGCCAGGTATCCGGTATCCTGTCTTGCAAGGCGACAATGCTGTAACAGTTGTGTGCTTTTCCGTGCGTGGTTTCTGCTGCAGCAAGATCCTGCGGACGACGTTCTTCGTTCGGTTTGCGGAATAATTGTCAATGGTTCCGTGTAAGGAAAATATTTGTTTGCGATGTAAGCCGACTCCTTCGCTTTTCTTTTTGCCCTGTTTGTGCGGCAAAGTTGCCCGTCTTTCCCGTGCGACAGCCGACCGATCCGTATACTAATCTCTTTTGTGCTTCTTCCACGAACGTCTACAGCAAAAGTCAGGTATCCTGTCCTGCAAAACGGCAAGGTTATGACACTTGCGGGAAACTTGCCGCAAGATCCTGTGGACGACGCTCTTCGTTCGGTCTGCGGAAAAATCGTCAATGGTTCCGTGCAAAAGAAGATTTTCGTTCGCCTAAGAAGCCGACAAACCTCTTCGCACGTCTTTTTGCCAAGTTTGCACTGCAAAGTTCCCAATTTGCTCCGTCCGACAGGCGACCGATCCGGATACCAACCTGCTTCGTGCTTCTTCCGCAATCATCTACAGCAAAAGTCAGGTATCCTGTTTTGCAAAGCAGCAATGTTGTAACAGTTAGTTGATAGAATACGACGTTCCCTGTCCTTGTATAGGTAACATGTCTGACTGTGTAGCTTAATGTGCCAATGACATGATCTTTGGCTCAACTAATGAAAAAAGAGGTACGCTTGCAGCTTGTGTTCCTCTTTGGGCTGGGCTTCCCTTTTGAGTTTCCTTGCCTTGCCCGGCGATCCTACCCCAATATCGTTGTGCTGCTGTTGAGGGTCGGATTAACTCAGTTGCGGGAAAGTTACGTGTGTGCGTGTGTGTGTGTTCTCCGTGCGTGGTTTCTGAGGAGATAAGATCCTGTGGACAAAGTTCTTCGTTCGTCAGTGGTTCCGTGTAAAGAACGATATTTATTTTGCCTTGTAAGCCGACACACCCCTGTGCGGTCTTCTTTTCGCCAAGTTTGCGAGGCAAAGTTCCCACTTCTCCCCGTGCGACAGCCAACCGATCCGTAAACCAACCTCTTTTGCGCTTCTTCCACAAACGTCTACAGCAGAGGCCAGGTATCCGGTATCCTGTCTTGCAAGGCAGCAATGTTGTAACAGTTGCCGGAAGGTTGTGTGTCCTTCCGTGCGTGGTTTCTGCGGCAGCAAGATCCTGTGGACGACGTTCTTCGTTTTGTCAGCGGAAAAAATCGTCAACGGTTTCGTGTAAAGAAAGATTTTTGTTTGCGATGTAAGCTGACAAACCCCTTTGCGTTTCTTTTTGCCAAGTTCGCGCGGCAAAGTTCCTACCTTTTCCCGTGTGGCAGCCAACCGATCTGTATACCAACCTCTTTCGTGCTTCTTCCACAGCGTCTACAGCAGAGGCCACATATCCTGTCTCGCAAAACGGCAATGTTGCGTTTTTTCCGTGCGTGGCTTCTGCGGCAGCAAGATCCTGTGGATCTTCGTTCGGTCTGCGGACAAAACCGTGAATGGTTCCGCGTAAAGAAAGATTTGTGTTTGCGATGTAAGCCGACAAACCCCTTTGTGTTTTTTGTTGCCAAGTTTGCGCGGCAAAGTTCCTACCTTTTCCCGTGTGGCAGCCAACCGATCCGTATGCCAACTTGTTTTGCGCTTCTTCCACAGACGTCTACAGCAGAGGCCACATATCCTGTCTCGCAAAACGGCAATGTTGCGTGTTTTTTCCGTGCGTGGTTGCTGCGGCAGCAAGATCCTGTGGATCTTCGTTCGGTCTGCGAACAAAATCGTGAATGGTGCCGTGTAAAGAAAGATTTGTGTTTGCCTTGTAAGCCGACAAACCCATTTCCTCTTCTTTTCGCCATAATTGCGCCGCAAAGTTCACACTTTTTTCCTGTGCGACAGCCAACCGATCCGTATACCAACCTGTTTTGCGCTTCTTCCACAAAGGTTTACGGCAGAGGCCACGTATCCTGTTTTGCAAAAGCAAAACGGCAATGTTGTGTGTGTTTTTTTCCGTGCGTGGTTTCTGCGGTAGCAAGATTCTATGGATCTTCGTTCGGTCTGCGGGAACAGTCGTGAATGGTTCCGTGTAAAGAAAGATTTTTGTTTTGTGTTGTAAGCCGACGCACCCCTGTGCGCGCTTCTTTTCGCCAAAATTGCGCGGCAAAGTTCACACTTCTTTCCCGTGCGACAAGCCAACCGATCCATATAGCAAGGAATCCTGTTTTGCAAAACGGTAATGCTATGAAAATTGTGGAGAAGTTGCGTTTTTCTTTGTGCTCCTGCGGCAATAAAATCCTGTGGACAATGCTCTTCGTTCGGTCGGCAGAGAAAACGTGAATGGTTGCGTGTCAAGAGAGCTTTGTGTTTGCCTTGTAAGCCGACAAATCCCTTCCTACCTTTCTTGCCAAACATGCACGGCAAAGTTCTCGTTTTCTTCCCGTCCGACAGTTAATTGATTCGAAACCAAGCTCTTTTGCACTTGGTTTGCGAACGTTTGCAGCAGAGGCCAGGTATCCTGTTTTGCAAAGGCGGCAACAATGTGGCAGTTGCGGGAGAAATGTGCATGTTTTCCGTGCATGGTGTTGCAGCAAGATCCTCTGAACGATGCTCCCTGGACCCTCCCAAAAACCTTCCCACGTGCTTGAGTCCCACCACCCACTCTTCTTTCGCAGAAATATATCGCCCCATGCCTAATTCTTCTTCGCAAAATCTGCTGGCGAAGCCAGATTGGGATCCAACACATTCCAGCTTGAACCGGTATGATTCGATGCATTCTGTTTGGGGTCTTCGCTGGTGTAATTGATGTTTAGAAGATGTTGCGCTTCAGGCTTTAGAAATGCTAAACCCTAGTTGGCAGCACCTCTGTTGTGCACGGTATTTGCAGCGTTTTCGTACTACCTGACCACCTGCGGTTTAGCAGTTTCTTGCCCGTCGCTGTCGCAGTTTTGGGGCCTGTGCCCCTTCAATTTCACCGGCTGTGACAGTTAACGAAACTGAGACTCTGCAACTTCTGCAGCTGTCACAAGTCGGGAACCTGAGCCCGTGCATCTTCTGCAACTGTCGCAGTTAAGGCGCCTAGCAGCTACCGCTGCCCAGCCTGGATGGAACAAGTGTAGAGGGAGGGGGCTAGTAGTAGTAGTAGTAGTAGTAGTAGTAGTAGTAGTAGTAGTAGTAGTAGTAGTAGTAGTAGTAGTGGTAGTAGTAGTATGTGAAG